CTCACCAAGTGATCGTAGGCCTTCTCCAGTGAGCCACATTGCCAGTAAGAAAATGAGCCTCTACCGTACTGTCTTCTCTTTCCTACCGTTAGTTCCCTCCATAGGGGAGAGGCAACGGTGGGATACCTGTTCTTGTGAGACGTTCCTTCTTGTTCCGATCCCACGAATCATCTATCGTGGTGAAGCCGCCCCTTCATTTGCTCCAGGCTACTGGTAGTCTCTTGCCCTGTAGCTCGAACTCCAGTGCCTTCCTTATCGAATATCAGGCTTTCTCATCCAGTGTCCGCATCATCGCAGGCTCTGTTCTCGCGCCTTCAGCAGCATTGGAACAGTCAACCATCCTTACCCGTGAGGTCATGAAGTCCATCATAGGAAGAGCATAGTGCGTTCTCGAAAACACTGAACACACCGAATAAATTCGTGGAACACCGCGGCGACTGAAGAATACTTCCCACCTCACAAGTGGCCCTGAGTATCATGATATTGCTGCTATGTTACAAGTATTACATTTTACAGCACATTCCTGGTCATAAAGCAGAAGTGGAGTGCAGTGGAAAATCCCACTTTTCCTTCGAGATCCGATAACTTTGAAACCAACAGTGCAGTGGTTGGTGGAGAACGACACAGGTGAGCGACATTACCATATGTTTTTCAGCTTACATTCTTACATCTATTCCAAAAGAATTCGTTCTCAAAACATTGAATGCCGCGTGCATTGTCTGCAATGCACACTTGCACGCTTTTGAGAAGTTTTTTTTCACCGAGTGCAGCAGTTGCGTTCTAGTGGGGACCCTTGTGGTGCGCATACAGGGAACGCGGTCGGTCGACCGCACGTTACACGAGATTGTTGATTCGACGGGCCAGCAGGGTATATATTCGAATCCTCCAGGGATCATATCTAGCCGCTTGTGAGAGGGGGTAATATTATATTCGACCTGGAGAAATTTTTCTGACTGCTGTTTTCCCGTTCATGCGCACTATGTAGCTGATATTGTCACAGTGATTCGGGGCGGTCTCAGAAGTCAAGGCCACAGGGGCATTTTCTGCCACTGGTCGCTTCTTCCTTAGTGGATTACCAACCCACCAGCATTGATGCAAACGGCAGCAAGCTCCACCCCCTCCAATACCGCCGCAACACCTCCTTCGTCAAAAAAAACTTGAAGAAGGTTACGTTCAAATAGCAGAGTGCGCACAGGACAAAAGAGTAGAATAATTTATCAACCAGAACAACCTCAAAGTTGGGTAATAAAACAAACACTTCGTAAGTAATAACGACGCGAACACAACAGAAATACACGAATGATAATAAAATAAAGACAAGTGGGTACATCTCCCTCCTTTCTATATGCCCTGGAGTCATCATCGAATGTAGTCGTGATCGTGAGCGATTTGCAGAGTTGACCACAAAGCAGCTTTCAGAGGAAACACTCGGCGAGATGAATGGGGCTAGGCTCATTTTTGGTCTGAAATAGGTTCGTTCCCGCCAACGACGGTTTCTGCGACGGACCTTGCCTACAGTAACCTGTGTTGGGGCGCACTTTTGCGTCCTTGCGTTCGCGCATTCATACTTGATCGCGTAATTGCGACAAAACTACTTTTTTCGATAGGTAATAGGAAATATTGGCACATTCGCTCGTACATACACACATTAATATGACTGGTGCCAGCCGGAGCGTGTCAGCGGAGTCTAGGTTTTGGCGCAGCATCAGCTCGTTTCCATTGATCTTTACCGCTCCTGGCTTCCAATGAGCGGTTGAAATGGGGCTAGGGAAAAAAAAACCCGGTCGTAGCTGACGTGCCCCTGATGACTTCAGCAATATCGACTGTGAATGTTAAGACCAATATCAAGAGTAGATTAATGGTCGTCATAGTTTACGTTTCAAAGCAAGCGTTCAGCAGTGATTGATCTGGGTACTGACGTCGTGCTGGACCGAGATGGACGAAGTTTTGTACGGGTAAGATACGATACGGACTTATACCTCGACATCACGGCACGACTTCATGCTGATGCCAATTGCATTCCAGTCGCCGCAAGGTACGCTAGCAGCTGGAGCTGGAAAAGTGTTCAGATCCTTTTATTTTAGGACACGTCTCATGGATGACTCGTTTACTATGGCAGAGATTGGCAACCTCTCTTATGGACATGCCCTGAACATTTCCGTCTATCTCAGGAAAGAGGTGAATCGCGCTTCTCGAAATTGCATGATAAAGACGCCAGCTCTTATCGGCTGAGATCGATGATTGGGTTGAGTTCACGAGCTTTTCGCCCTGGCACAACCTGTGACCCACAATCTCTCACAGTGCGCTTGAATTTAGCGCTTTTGGCACTTTCCTCTTCTCTACTCTTCCACGCGCTCACCATCAGTGTCTCGGTTCTTCACATGGTCGCTCAGTGCTCAAAATCGACTGCAAAGAAATGCTTCGCTCGGGAATTTGCGACTGTTTATTCTGCTATTTTGCCCCATATTGAAGCATCTATGTTTCCTTTTTTTGAAATGCACCACCTGTATATGCACATATCGAGGATCGCTCCTAGAACAGGTCCGGGTGCGCCAACGCCTGCAGTGATCGCCGTCGCAAATGACCTCCTACAATCAACATTGATCGCGCGGCAAATAACTGCACTGCCCATGTTCGATGGGCCTCCCGGTATTCTCGCTTCTTGCTCGGCTCTGGACCCCCTTCATGCTCTTGTGGCGACGGCCCTGCAGGGTTTTAGCCCTTAGAACCACGTGGGAGTATATTTTTCTTGATGATGTTTATATTTGCACCCATAAAGAAGCCTATCGATATAGTTCATCGACCAGGAAAACCCCCTTCCAAGGGAAGCAAGTAAGTCCATTTTCAGTTGTACTTAGTTTGTAAGTTAGAGTTGTGAATTTAACTAACAGTATTACATTAAAGTTGTTAGTTCACTTAGTTGATTATGTTCGTAAGAGGTCGAAGCCTCAGATACGTATTGCCTTTTTTACGCCATTATAGAGAGTGGGCCCCTTTAACGAGAGGATCCGCATTATAGTGCCACTTGCAGGGCATATCTAGAGAATGATTTTTTGGTTTATCATGAAAGTGCCGTAATGTGTCATGTGAACCAGTGAGCAACTACTGTGCTAGTTTCTGCTCTATCGAAATTGAAAAGTTTTCAAAGTTCTATCTATTGCAGAGAGCATATCCACCAGTGAAGATGCTACACGCTCATCTGGACTTTCTCGTCTCTCGTCTTACAGGTCATCCACAGTTCCGGGTATTTCAGGTGCTTTGTACCCCTTCATGCAGTTCTTTCAGAGCTTGGCTTGAGGGTGCGTTCAAACTTTGCGATGACGCGCCTCGCAACGCATCTACGACCCTAAACGGGTATCAATCGGTGCCGACTGCTGGTGTTTTGGGGATGTTTAGGAGAAGAAATAGCAGCGCTACTGCTTTGCGACCGCATTGCACGGTTTTATTTTATGTGACGCCTAATCGCACTGTATGGCACACAAAATTTTCGTAGTCTGAGAAATAGCTGCTTCCGTATGCCGTTCTCCTTGGTTTACTTTCCTAGTTTAAAGATAATTTAATTGTAAGTTGTACCCGTTAAGATAATTCTAATTGTAAGTTATACCCCCTGCGGCATAACCCGCGTCGTATAAGTTTCATCACATTGACTCAGAGGTGTGCAGCGAGCTTCACGCGGGCTTCAAAGCTGGGGACCTTGCTTCTACGACGGTCTCTGTTACGGTACCAAACTGTGAAATCTGGGTGTTGTCTGATACCCTCCAGTTCTTCTTTACTTTCTCAAAACAGCAGTCGGCGTCCATCGATACCCATCCATGGCATTTGAGCGCTATTGCAACGGGCAGCGTCGACGCGCATCATCGAAGTCCGAACGCAGCTTAAGACCAAAATTTAGCACCTATTAAGATTTCGCGAGTGCTTTTTCACATGAAAGGTATTATTATTCTGTCCAGAAGTCCCTTACAGAGTTTTTTTTGAAAGATCCGCATTTTGAAGGACTTCATCATAACGATTTTGGAACCGTTATTCGAATATTTTCGGCAAAATCCTGTCTCAAATGAAGAAGTGAAACTGCACGAAGAGTAAGCTATTGCCTCTATACAGCCCTATCATAAACTTGTAATCTCAGTTGAATGAAGGCTACTCAGTGATCTGCGAGGTACGGTATTCTTTCGTGTTTGTCTGAATGGCTACCCGACATGCATTTCATATTCGCAAGCTCTCATGGAGAAACTGAGGATATCCTGTGCTAATGCGAGGCTAAGCAATCAAACATGCAATGCGTAAGTGTAAAGTAAAAGAGTAAACAGCGCTGGCGTCAAAGCTGGAGTCCTTTGTGAGAAACTGGTGGTGTTCGGCTTGGGAGGAGCATTTTACGTTCTTCCCATCGCTAGATTATGTCAACTAGACGACCAGCGACCAGCAGCGTTCCGAGCGTCCGTCAGCGTCAGCGGGAAAGTATAGATATTAATCTAGCGAAGGGCAGCGTCTGACAGCGTCCCCAGGCGTCCACCAGCGTTGACGTTAGCGTCTCTAGGCTGCTGGTAGTGTGTGAGCAAAAAGGAGGGATGAGACCGCTGGTTCGAACGTCATGAATCGTGGCGTATGCAACCGCACCGTATGCCACACAATACCGTACTCCTGGACATTGGTGGCGCCAGATCGATATCCATAATTCCCTAGTACCTGTAGACTCTGACGGCCGCTGGTAGTCGCTTATGGACGCTGCAGGCAAGTATGAACGCAGCCTAACAGGTCTCGTCTGGTGAAACCTGCAAACCCTTTTAAAGCTGCGAAAAGTTGCAGGAGAGTCCTATAGCAACCTGTCTTCACAAGGTGGGTTGTACAAGCCTCGGTGTGCACCACGTGGTGCCCTACCCTACCAAGCCGAACTGCGCCAAGCACTCTATTTTTACTAACAGCACGTACATTTTGCAAATGACAAAAGTGCTATCAATAGGATCCCGCCGTACCTCCGTCAACCAATCTATGCGACAGCTGTGATGTATGGAAGTGACGATTTGTTCGAGTTTTTGCACAGAAAATGGGAAATCGAAGTCTATCAGACAGAACGCGAGCGAATTTGGATTGCTATGGGAGCCAGTAAGAAGAAGGAACATATTCACAGGTAGTTTTAGATCTTGAGACTTTATCGGCGAAATATTAGGCTGGAGACAAACTGTACACCCCACCCCCCTCGCCGTTGTGAGTAGAGATCCTTGGCAAGGTGAAAGGTTCTGCAGCTGCCGCAGCGGTCCGATTGGCTGAAGGCTGGGGGCACCCATGTGTCTTTTTGACATTGCTGCCGCACGCTCAACCATGGCAAAACGAACTTATTGTCTGCGTCCTCTCCTTCTAGTTGTTCTCTACAGCTGAGGGCGTGTTTCGCTGCGAGACCTCGGGATTGACACAAGTGCTGCACATTAAGGGTAGCGAAGTGTGGAGAAGGTCCAACCACTAATCCTTCTTTCGGGTTCCCATACCCACAAGTTTGGCAGACGGGATTTCACTGAGAGACATATTTGGCGCCTGGAGGAGCAGGATCCCAACTAGAATTTTGCAGGATTTCAAATTATTAGTTTTCATTAAAATAATGTGATGGATGTTGATGAGCAGTACGTGGTCCTTAATTTACACTTTTTTGTTTTCAGAATTTTCGACGACCTATTTTTCAACAGCGCTCCGAGCGACTTGCGACCAATGTGTGCTGGTTACGTCAGGTATATCCCGGCTTTTTTCTTCAATATGTCTTTAGCTCAGGAGGGGCATCATTCGCTATGACGTGACCTGTAAACCCTTGTGAAGCTGCGAATGCAAGTCTTGCATAGGCCCTGCCGCATTATTTGGGTTATTGCGATTCCGAACGTCGTACAATACTCACCGAATCCCAGAAGGGAGTGATTAACGATAAACTTTTATACTTATGCTTATTAAGTACACATTTAGCTACAACCATCCCCTCAATCACTTCACTTCTTACGTGCTGGAGAATCTCGATCGGATCACAAAAGCGTAAGTTTTTGACTAGGAATCGACAAAACCTGTCAAATCAAAGGTTTGGTGCTGCTTAAATCAACTTTATGTCATTCTCTGTTACATACGTTCCATGCCATAGGGCTAAAAGGAGTGTTACACACAAGCTCGGCAACGGCTGCGTTTTTCCATGCCAAATCTCCTTTCTTACAGACTGTATGCTGACTTTAGTACCTAGAGGCAAGTGACCATAATCCTCATTCGCCGTAAAAAACGGTGTAACGCTGCATCGCCCCACCCCAACTTCACAGGCTTAAGTACCTAATATATTCTGAAGAGCTTTGCCCATAAGGGTAATCCGATGCCTCGATCACGAGTATGACATTTGTTCTCGACGGCGCCAATTTGGCGTCACTACTTCCCTCGAAAAAGTTCCCAGGGGACAAAACTTCAGCGATTTCGGTGATACAAGGTTTCGGCCCCGGAGCCTGTAGGTAAATTCAGGCCAAAGAGATACGTGTTCCTGTGGAGGGTCGAACTACCTCTGGAAGGGAAGTTCCAGCCAAATCTGACTCCAGAAAAGAAACGCGCAAAATCTGGCCTATTCCCGGAAAATTGGATAGTGATAGTCCAACGGTGCCAAAAAACCATGAAAAGATCACTCTGGCGAAAAGATCACTGGTAACGAAAGATTCCGAGAAACAACGTAAGGAGTCGAAAAAAACGTCTTTCGCAGGACAAAAGTATTGCCATTATTGATGAAGTACCTGCTTCGTGTGTGAATGAGGAGAAAGATATTAGGCCGCGCCAAAAGCGAGGCATGCTGACACGCCCCCCACTAACCTCGGTTAACGACTGTACACACGTCTGTCTCTGCTTCTTTCTAAATCCACGCAGTCGTTGCCACGATCGAAACTACGCACTCGGAAGCCTCCCCTCCGCCCCTCTCGCTCTCAAATATGTACTAAATTTAGCAACTTTTTTTCCACCACATTACTTGAGAGGAAGAGAATTAGATCTGAGAACTTTATCGGCGGAAATATTCAGGTTGGAGACAAACTGTACACCCCACCCCCCTCGCCGTTGTGAGTAGAGATCCTTGGCAAGGTGAAAGGTTCTGCAGCTGCCGCAGCGGTCCGATTGGCTGAAGGCTGGGGGCACCCATGTGTCTTTTTGACATTGCTGCCGCACGCTCAACCATGGCAAAACGAACTTATTGTCTGCGTCCTCTCCTTCTAGTTGTTCTCTACAGCTGAGGGCGTGTTTCGCTGCGAGACCTCGGGATTGACACAAGTGCTGCACATTAAGGGTAGCGAAGTGTGGAGAAGGTCCAACCACTAATCCTTCTTTCGGGTTCCCATACCCACAAGTTTGGCAGACGGGATTTCACTGAGAGACATATTTGGCGCCTGGAGAGCAGGATCCCAACTAGAATTTTGCAGGATTTCAAATTATTAGTTTTCATTAAAATAATGTGATGGATGTTGATGAGCAGTACGTGGTCCTTAATTTACACTTTTTTGTTTTCAGAATTTTCGACGACCTATTTTTCAACAGCGCTCCGAGCGACTTGCGACCAATGTGTGCTGGTTACGTCAGGTATATCCCGGGCTTTTTTCTTCAATATGTCTTTAGCTCAGGAGAGGCATCACCTTCGCTATGACGTGACCTGTAAACCCTTGTGAAGCTGCGAATGCAAGTCTTGCATAGGCCCTGCCGCATTATTTGAGGTTATTGCGATTCCGAACGTCGTACAATACTCACCGAATCCCAAAAGGGAGTGATTAACGATAAACTTTTATACTTTACATTTAGCTACAACCATCCCCTGAATCACTTCACTTCTTACGTGCTGGAGAATCTCGATCGGATCACAAAAGCGTAAGTTTTTGACTAGGAATCGACAAAACCTGTCAAATCAAAGGTTTGGTGCTGCTTAAATCAACTTTATGTCATTCTCTGTTACATACGTTCCATGCCATAGGGCTAAAAGGAGTGTTACACACAAGCTCGGCAACGGCTGCGTTTTTCCATGCCAAATCTCCTTTCTTACAGACTGTATGCTGACTTTAGTACCATAGAGCAGTGACCATAATCCTCATTCGCCGTAAAAAACGGTGTAATGCTGCATCGCCCCACCCCAACTTCACAGGCTTAAGTACCTAATATATTCTGAAGAGCTTTGCCCATAAGGGTAATCCGATGCCTCGATCACGAGTATGACATTTGTTCTCGACGGCGCCAATTTGGCGCGCCCACCACTTTCCTCGAAAAATGGGTCTGAACTTGCATACTAGGGTTATTCGGTACCCTGATCACGAAAATGACATTCTTTCATTGCTCTGGCGCCATTTGGCGCCATAAGGCGCCGATGCACATCCTTCATTCATTAATAACTAAGAAATGCATAATAGGTTTGTTCCTCTGGGACCAGGGTCAGCATTAGTAGGGCCCAGATAATCATACTGTCCTCCACTAGCGCCAGCGCCAGAAAGGACTGTCACATATGTAATCGGAAGGTCAAGTTACTCCCATGTA